AATGTAAATCCAACATATATATACTATACAAACTGGTCAAAATATACATCCAACATATACTATACAAACAGTTGAAATAAACAACATATATATACTATACAAACAGTTGAAATAAACAACTAATATATACTATACAAACTGGTAAAATATACAGCCAATATATATTATACAAAATTATATTACGATAGAAATTTACTTCTAAAATTGCATCTAGAAGAGGAATAACGTGTAAAATAACGAAACACTATATCATAAAGTAGGTTTAATCATCTGAATGTAACTGACCTCAGTTCTTCCCTGATGTTATATAGACTAGGATTGTTGAGCAGCTCCCACGCATCAGGAGGAAGGTTTTCAGTTGACCTGTAAGGTTCTAGAACTTCGTCGATTATATAAAGTTTCTGTTTACCGTCATCTACAGTATAGTCCCTATCTTCCAGAAGCTTGGCGTTGTTGACGAAGTACTCCTGTGTTATTGAAACAATGAAACTTTGTGTTAGACGTGAACAGATTCCTGTGAGTAAGTTACCAGTAGAGGGGGCACATTAGACATTAAAAGATGCACAGATTGTCTTGAGATAGCTACATGTAGTAACAGGACTTTAAAAATAAACACATGCACAGATTGTCTTCAGGAAAGCAGTGACAAACAAATGAGTACCTTCCCTTGAGTCAGTTACCAGTACCAACTGTCTTTTAGGCAAATAACAGATTGTCTTAAGTAAGTTACCAGTAATAAACAGTCAAGGGTTTTCCAAATGTGCAGTTGATCACAAATATTTGTGCAGTTGAAAATTCGCCTATATAAATAAGATCAAATGGATAACTATTAAAAAAAAACATGTTTAAGATTATAAAATTCCACTCCAGATTTGATAAATATATGTATTTTTCTAGAATGTTCTTCATTTTTTTATGGATCATTTGTTAGTAGTCTTGTATATGTGAGGTGCAATAAGTCGTTATGTATTTAAAATTATTAAGTTAAAATATAATTATGTAATATTTGATAGGTTGTTTACGCAGAGTATTCATAATGAATCTAAGTTTCAAATGGACAGCAACTGCCTGTTGTAGAAACCTACAAGTGTAGAGGACGACGTTTCGAGAAAAAAAAAGGGGTAAATTATCTTGTGTCAGCAATGACTTACTCACTCAGTGATGTACCTTTAAAGATTGTTTGTCTATAAAATTAACCATGAAAGTATTGTCCACAATACAATAGTTTGTCTCACCTTTTCTCCGCTTCCAGTTCTTTCTTTGACGTTGAAGTACAGCGGAGGATTTTCTTGGGAAACAGCGTAGACAGTGTCGGGAAATAAATCCCTTGTCACTACCATACTCACTAGAACAATATGAAACAATCATTCTCACAAAGTCACTAAATCATAGCGCGAGAGAAAAGAGGACTCACACAACCCTAACACTTCACACAAGAGACAAAAAACTGGGAAATGCTAGTAAAAAAACGTGCTTACATTATATGTTTCGTACGTTATGCACAAGTATACATGACTAATTGTATAACTCTCCCAAATTACGATCAGTTACTTCTACTAATTAGAAGAAGTAAAACTTTACAAAAATATTCGGCTATTTTAATCTTGATTTTTAAGTCGTCAGTTTTCGTTAATAAGTGTTTATAATAATTTAAATACTTTCTCCAGTATCAAAAGATAAACTTTTCACTAAGTAAAGAATAATAGCACACAGTGTGAATAAAACATTTCCTGAAAAGCTCGACAATTTATTAAGCCTTGAATTATGTGCGTCTTCTTATCTAAAATACTATGACAAAAGGTGAGTTTCTAATTTTACCTAGCTAAGTTCCGTAAAAATATTTTCAAGTCTACTGTCTATTACTTTAAAATTCTAAAGCCTTAATAAAGCACAAATGTTAGGAACATCGAGCACGTTATGCCTATCTATAATATTAACAGCATAAAAACTTTATTAGCAATATCATTTAGTGACAATAGATGGCACTACAAGAAAAGTGTTCACTTACCGATGTGGTATGAAGCTAGTCTTTCCTCATCTTCCGGAGCAAATGGTCGAGCTCGTGAGAAGGCTTCGTTCGAAGGGACAAAGACAGTGACTCGGCGTTTTTTAAGTAGAACTTGAACCAGCTCATCATTTTTGGTTAGGTCGAAGAACTGAAATAAAATAAAACATAAGTAACTTGTTTCCCTTGGATCCGAGAGAGATGGAACATAGTCAAATATTGGAGGCGTTGAGTTGAAAATATCGTTTTTATTTCTGTTTCTTTCCGTTTTCTTTCTTTTGTAAAACTATAGGATTTAGTATTGTGTTCAAAATTTATGTTTACAACTTCAAGTTTAATCGTCATTAAAGTGCAATCCAAAAAACTACTCTTTCATGCAAGAGATGTAGTAATAAGGGTTTCTACAGTTAACTGGGATAATTATCAGAAGTTTCTAACAGTTATACAGGTTTATACAACATGCTCCTCACTTGGGATATAAACTGTTATTCTCTAAGGATGTAGTAATTAGGTTTCTACAGTTAACTCGTTAGAATTACCAGAAGTTTCTAACAGTTATACAGGTTTATACAACATGCTCCTCACGTGGATTATAAACTGTTATTCTCTGATGATGAAGTAATTAGGGTTTCAACAGTTAACTGGTAGAATTACCAGAAGTTTCTAACAGTTATACAGGTTTATACAACATGCTCCTCACGTGGATTATAAACTGTTATTCTCTAATTACAATTATGCCAGTGGAAAACATTGCTCGTTTGCAAGTAAAAATAAAATATTCAGATTAATGTCTGTCTGAGTGAAGTTAAGTTAAAAAACGTATCGTGGCCTACAGATGGAATGTTCAGGTCCCAGCTTGATTATCTTTTAACCCTGTTGCCACTTAACCTTAGACTATTTATCCTTAAAATTTGTTTACACGTATTCCTGTTTATCTTTTAGCCCTGTTTACACGTATTCCTAAACTGTTTATCTTTAAAACATTGTTTTATTAGGAGGTGGTGGTAATAGAAGTTATCTTTTTATTTAGCTTTTTATATTATAATTATTTTAGAAGTGTCATTCATGAAACTTATTACCGCTTTGTCTTGGTACCGCCACCGTGCCTTAACTCTCGACGTTCTCGCTCTTCCAAATCCGAAACTATGTTCTATACCACTTAAGAAATATAGAAGTAGTCCCCTTTCTTGCGCGCAGCCTATTTCTTATGAATTGAGACTAATAGCATGGTGTCTTCCTTCTCTCTTGTAGGCTGTTCGTTAAACTCCACCCCACCCCTAGTTAACATTGGAACTGCCTCCGTTTCCATCTACCTGTACTGTGTGCAGAACTATAGAGTAGAAAATTTAATATGTGGCAAGTCTCTTTTATTATCAACCAGTAAAATGTGAATTTAGACAACCTTGTAATATCTAGTGCTCGTTCTCCATCCGCCCTGAAATAAGGAATACCAATATTCTAGTGAAATCTTGAAACTGTTCTCATACATCCTGAAATAACAAAGAAACTGAAGAAGAGTTTTAATGCTGCTTATTTTTAAATAACGGACAAGAGAGAGAAGAGTTTAGATTCCAATACATCAAAAACCCGTGATTTTGTATTAAGCTGTAATAGTTAAAATCAGTATCGTATTATGAAATAGCTATAGAAATAATTGTATGTTGTTGGTTAAATGATCGATTTGGTACTTGCTTTTTTGGAAATACGTATGTTATTCCTGGCGGGCAAACAGGAATAGTGAACTAATTAGATATTGTCAGTTACTTCTCCAATATCTTTGAAGAGCCCGGATTTCATTCCTGGCGAGTATACAGTAACTGTACAATAATAAAAGTATTGTCAGATAACTGTCTAGCTTGTACTTTGAATGAACTCTGTTACCATGATAACAGAAATCAGTTCGTCACTTTCACTCTTGAAAATATTTCTTTTTTATTTGAAGGTAACAAAACTCTATTTTTATTACCACTTGGGCAAGTTTCCATGTGTAATGATTATAAATGTGGATTGATGTACAAGAACTAAAAAGATGTTTTGAACAATTTCCAACGAATCACAATTTATTATAAATGTGGATTGATGTACAAGAACTAAAAAGATGTTTTGAACAATTTCCAACGAATCACAATTTATTATAAATGTGGATTGATGTACAAGCAGTAAAAAGACGTTTTGAACAATTTCCAACGAATCACAATTGATTATAAACGTGGATCGATGTACAAGCACTAAAAAGACGTTTTGAACAATTTCCAACGAATCACAATTGATTATAAATGTGGATTGATGTACAAAAACTAAAAAGACGTTTTGAACAATTTC